TTATTTAAAGCTGCAGTCTGTAAGTTTTGCCTCTTTGTCGCCATCTCTGTTTGAAAACCTGGAATTGCAGCTGTGTGCGGAATTATCTAGCTTGCGTGGGTTGTGAGTCGGCACGGCTCCAGCGCGGATGAATCTAATGTTCTGAAGAATATGTGTGGCAGTCAGTCACTGCACCGGTGTGGATATTTACTGTACTTCGCAATCACAGATTCTAGCCTACGTCTTGGAATCTATGACCCAAATAAGAATTTTCACCATATATTGTCATCTGAACAAGTAAGTAACAAGTCTGCCACGTTTGTTCTGACCAACTGAGGAAAACAGCATTACCATAAATCTCTACCAATGGTGATTAAATCTAAAGATCGGTTCGCTCCTATCACAGCAAACCGTTCAAATTATTATTATTGTTATACTTTATTCTCAAATGATTAATGTTAACAACATTAGCACTGGTGACTATGAGTAGCCTAGTGTGTATTAGCGTGTAGATTTCAATTTCTGCAGTCTAATCTAATTGTCATACTTTTCGAATTTCATATTAAGAAATTCTTTTAACCCAAAAAGCAAATTATGCTCCCTTCGAACTGATTTTCTTTAAATTACAAATCTTTGTAATCCCAGGCTATCTGTAATCAGACAGCTCAAATTGATATGGCAATATTGACGCCATCCTTAACTAAACCGGAGCAGACGGAACTTGCTGCTTTGGCAAGGGGCGGGGCAGTACTGAAACACCGTCTAAGCTGTTCGCCAATCACAACGCACTGGGGCAGCTAACCAATCACATCACAATTCGTTTTTCGGAAGGCGGGCCTTCATCAAAGCCGGAACTAACCGAGCCGTTTGTGCCAGCATGGGGAGAAAGGTATTGTAATAATGTAAATTATGTAAAAAAAATAATGCGTTTTTCGAACCACCAAGCATGAGAGCATGTTCTAGTACTCCCCCAAAATAAATTCAAGACATTGTAAAAGAGCATAATAGGACCCCTTTAAAACCTGGAAAAGTCAGATTTTCATGATAGTCACCTTTAAGATGATGTAGAGCTTCAAGAACTCAGTTGACCTCTCAGTGTTTCTGCATTGTATATCTCACGGACTGTCAGTCATGCTGTGCCAACAAATGAGAAGGGCCAAAGTGATGCTGTGTTGTAACTCTGGCTCATTTTACAGGATCAATGAATAGCTCAGTCAGATGACAGTATAGCAAGGCCTGATCTGGAATAGTTTTCTAATGTGAGGTTGTTGGGATTTCTATTTCACTTTTTTGAATGGTTAGAAATGATGGGGTTTCAAAGTATGTTTATTCATATTTAAAGGATCATAATTTGTTTATGTGTTGTTTAATTTGTTTTCTTACCGTTTAGATGTTTTCCGATATCTGTTTTCTATTTTTGAAATATTAAATAACCTTTTTTTTCTCTCATTTTCCCTGCGGTTGTACAGAGACCCTTCAGGCTCAGAATGGATCAGTTAAAATACCATCATTTAAACTCAGGCAAGTGTTTTGATTCCATATACAATATTATATTTTCAGTGTTTTTCTTGGACATACATTCTCACACAATCTTCATGATCCACACAGACATAATTCTTGAAAATCAATAGACAAGCACATTTAAGTTTTAGTTTTGCATAGCATTCGTTATTTTTAAACCTTTCATCTGTAAGTATTAAAATGACTAAATATTCTCCTTACATAGCACCTTTGAAATGGGTTACTATCTTAGGTTTATTTATATTTATTGATATAGCAGATGCTTTTATCCAGATGATCTCTGATTTATCAGAGGGAGTAAGAGTGACATTTGAAAATGCTTCAATGCAAAGTCTTCATGAGTCGTATCTTTCATGTTCTGGTGTATTAAGTGTGAACTATTTTTGTGCAGAGAGAAGTGTTTATTCCCTCTTCAGTTGGCACTGGAGTCTAAAAACACTAAACTGGCTCAGACTGCCCTCACCGGAATGCAGGTGTGCTTATTACTAAACATTTTAGGGTTTTAAAAGAAATACATTTCACAGAGGCAAAAAATGATTGAAGTACACTTAAGGTAAAGCAGCACCCCATATATTTTGGCTTTATTTTATTTAATGGTATTTGCTAAGCCAAGCAAAGCATGTTAGACTTGTAACTGGTTTTGAAATGTTTCAGCCATGGACACGAGAGACTCTTTTATATTTGGCTAGTAAGCAAATTCCCACCCTACCAACTGCACAGCAATGCTCTAGCAACCACACAGATCACCTCAGCAACTGCACTGCATCATGTGAACAGCCACACAGAAGCTACATAGCAACACAGTAAAAATCTGTGAACTTTAAGGCAAAAATCTGACAGCTATGGTTGTCTGAACTTTTGTAGCAATATTTTACGTTTTACAGATTGAACCTAAATTTACAGTAAAAACATTTCATTAACTGAAATGATGATAATATACCAAATTACTCAAATTTGTGTTTTACCTTTATAATATAATGATAACCACCTTAAAACATAGGTGGTAATGAAAAAGCCATTTGATGAATCAAAATTTAATCACAAGTAGCCTTTCCACAAGCTGAGATAAATACTAATATATATATATATATATATATATATATATATATATGTATATA